GTTTTTCATTCCTTTTCATTCATTTTTTTCTTCTCTTACTGTATATTTTCAAATAACCTGTCTTTGAGTTCACAGATTCTTTCTTCTGCTTGATCCATTCTACTACTGATGCTCCCTATTGTATTTTTTATTCACTCATTGTATTTTTCAGTTCATAATTTCTGTTTGATTTTTTAAAAAATAACTTTAATCTTTCTGTTAAATTTCTCACTTTGGTCATTTATTGTTTCCCTGATTTTATTAAATTATTTCTCTGTTATTTTCTTGAAGTTTGTTGTACTTCCTTAAAACAATTATTTTGAGTTCTTTATCAGGCAATTTGTATATCTCCATTTCTTTGTGGTCAGCTACTGGAAGATTATGTTCTTTGGGTGGTGTTACATCTCTTTGGTTTTTCATGTGTCTTGTTACCTTACATTGATGTCTGCACATTTGAGGAAATAGGAACTTATTCCTATCTTCTCAGACTGGCTTTGTCTGAGAAAAGCTTTTACCAGTTAGCTCATCCAGTGATTGTGAACAGGTTGCCTGACATGGTACAAGGGCAGGCTTTCTGCTGGAGTCCTCGGGAAGGCTGCCTTGGTGCCCAGGATAGCTGGTGGGAAAGCCTGTGCTGGGGTGGGCCTTGAACCAGAGTTGTCAGGGCTGGGGAAGTCCTCTTCAGTCTCTGGGGCAGGCCTAAAACTCAGTGATACTGGCACCAATCTGGTGCTGAGTACAGACTGGAGCCTAGGGCTGTTATATACCCGGGGTTTGGAGCAAGCTTGGAGGTTCAGACTGTGGACAACAGCTTGAAATCTGGGGCTATGGGGCCTGCCTGGCACTGGATTTTCTTGGAGTGGGCCAGTGGTGGGATCCAAGGCAAAGACTGGCATTCACTTTCCTCTCCTTCCCCCAAGAAGATGGTATCTCTCTCAAGGTTGTGCTGCCTGGGGTTGGGAAAGGGATGACACAGATAGTGTAAAACTGTCCTCCCTGGGCCGGCCTGGTGGCGCACTGCTACAGTGCGCCGCTTGGGAAGCGTGGCAGCGCTCCCGCCGAGGGTTCGGATCCCAGGTGCAGACCAGCGGCTCACTGGCTGAGCGAGGAGCGGGGGCAACACCGAGGGTTGCGATCCCGTTGCCGGTCCCGGTCTGGTACGGGCACGACACTGAGGGTTGTGATCCATTGCCGGTCACGAAAAAAGACAAAAAGACAAAAAAAAAAAAAAAAAAAAAAAAAAAACCTG